CCTCCCAAGACAAGCCAAGACGGCCACGCCGCCGCCTACCGCCACGATCCAGCGCGGCGGTGCTACCGCATCCTGCCAGGCTAGATCCGCACAGTAGCCACTGCGTGTGGCCTCCTGCTAGCCTTTAGCATGCGCGGTCGCCGCCCCAGCAGTTGCCTCCCATGCCCAAATTGTCCCAACGAGCCTCGGGAAGAGAGGGCGAAAGGGAGGCCAGCGCGGGGGTCGATTGGGGTCACGCCCGTGTCCATCCGGCTTGGACTTGACGAGGAACGGAGTGGAGGCCGGCCCTAGGAACGGGACTTGGTCGAAGACGACCGAGGCCGGCCATGGCGACTGCAGCCTCCACAAGCCGGCCGGCGATAGGAGATGGCCCGATCTCGACCATGAGGAGCGCATTTGAACGAGGAGCGCGCCGGATCCTTCACTGGATCTGTCCCGTGGGGAGATGAGGAAGCTGAGAGGGGAGGGGACGGGAGGCGGCTGCTGAGAGGAGTGGCTAGGAGGGGACGGGAGGCGGCCTGCGAGAGGAGTGGCTGAGAGGGGAGGGGACGGGAGGCGGACGGGAGGCGGCTGCTGAGAGGAGATGGCCCGATCTGCTGGGAAGCGTCGGTGTGGGATTAGGGTTTTGGTGTTATTTTATAGATCGGACGATTTGTAGGCGATCACTGATTGAGCCGCCTCTACAAATAGCATCATGGGGCTGCTGATTGAGCCGCCCCTATAAATCAGACTCATTTATAAGGGCGGCTCGTATCACCAAATTACCCCTGCTGTTCTATTTATAGGGGCGGTTGTTCTCTGGGCTCCCCAGCACGTCATTGTAGGGGCGGCTCCATCACCAGCCGCCCCTACAAAAAATTGTCCCGTTGCTACAAACCGTTTTTTACGTAGTGTGTATCGCACTATTAATTATATAGATGTAGAAATTCTCTCGATTTGTAAACTTTGCTTGAGAATAATTGTTTTACGTGACATATATATATATATATATATATATATATATATATATATATATATATATATGGTCATATAGACTGTACTGTAGCTTTCGATTTTTGGCCGCCGGACTTGGGGGCCAAATCCTGGGTCCGTCACTGTGGCTTTGGAACTTCCGGCAGCCGGGAGAGATCGACGGACTGTGCTAGTCCTCTAGTGCAGCAACTCCATGAGAGGATGTAATGTGAGCTCGCCAGCTTCCCGGTCGCCGCCGAGAAGCCAACGTACATGTCTTGCTTGAAGATGGGCAAGAGGTCAACCGGCTGTGAGATGAGCGGCCGGCGAGGCCGACTTGCCACGGACACGGGAGCTATGGTCACGTTGAGGATCTTGGTGCGGCCGTCGTAGTCCACCCAGGCTTGGATCGGCTGCATGCTCTCGAGGGGCACAGGGACGTTGCTGCCATCGTCGGCGAAGTACGCGGCCGGCTCTGACACATTGGACACCAGACTGTTCAGGTCGACGCCGACGTGGTTGTCGTTCGTCTCGTTCAGGAGCGCGGCCGCCTGCGTGGTGTCGAACTCGACGGCGAAGACGTGGTTGGAGGAGTTGCCCATGGTGTCCTGGCCGAGGAGGCCAAGGTAGAGCCCGGGGCTTGCTCCGGGGAGCACCTTCGATGCCGCGACGACCAACGCGAGGCCGGCGCCTCCGCCCCTGCCGACGGTCACGATCTCGAACACGAAGGCCGTGCTGAAGGAGACGACGGCGTCGCCCCTGAGCATCCGCACTGGTGGGTCGAAGAAGGCGTGGCCCATGAGGTGGCTGCGGTCGGTGGTGAGCCGGAGCGCGCCGCCACGGAGGACCGACGCCGAGCCGTCAAGGCTCAGGTTGGCGGAATCCCGGAAGCCGTTGTAGATGAAGTCGACTTCGGCGCGTGACCGGAGAAGGCAACGGGCGAGGAGGAGGAACAGCGCGATGCGGTGGGCAAGCGGCGCCATGGATGACGTCGAAGACATGGATCAAGTTTCCTTGAAATTAAAGGTGTGTAGTCCGCTAGATCAGTAGATTGTGTCGAGCTGTGAACAAGGTTGCTTCTTTCTTCTTCGTAGTATTATCTGGGGAAAGTGACACGAGTGCCGTCAGGTGTCAGCTGGTCTGACGTGTCTCTCGGACGCCGAGGCACAAGTGACAAAAGAGAGAGAAGACACGCCAGCCGCCAGCGTTCTCCTAACTACTGTAGTATTACTGTACTAACCAACTTAGGGCCTGTTTAGTTGGCAAAAATTTTTGGTTTTGGGTACCGTAGCATTTTCGTTTGTATTTGGTAACTTGTGTCTAATTATGGACTCATTAGGTTCGAAAGTTTCGTCAAGCGATTTCTCACCCAACTGTGTAATTAGTTTTTTTTTCGTCTACATTTAGTACTCCATGTATGTACCGCAAGATTTGATGTGATGAATACTACGCAAAATTTTTTGGCTTTTGGGTGAAACTAAACAGACCCATCCCAAGCTCGGAGACAAAAACAGAGTCAGCTTCTTCCGGAGGACATGACAAAATTGACCTGTGACTTCCTTGTGTGGCTTTGCTAGGCATACTCCCTCCCTCCCAAAATCTGTCATTTTCGATTCCAACAAAACAACTTTGATAAAATATATATTAAAAAATATTAATATTTATAATACATAATTGATATTATTGGAAAGATCTTTGAATCTAGTTTTTTAATAAATTTATTTAGAGATATAAATGTTGCACGTATTTTCTACAAATCGAGTCAAACTTGCGGCACGGAAACCAAAAGCGACAGATAATTTGGGATATATGAGTAGACAGCTGTGGACATGTGGTGGTGCGGTGATCGACTGAGGCTTGTTTAGTTCCTCCCTAAAGTTTACTTCCTATCCCATCAAATATTTGGACACATGTATGGAGTATTAAATATAGACTAAAAAATAACTAATTACACAATTTACGACTAATTTACGAGACGAATCTTTTATGCCTAGTTAGTCAATGATTCGACAATGTGGTGCTACATTATCACATGTGCTAATGATGGCTTAATTAGGCTTAATAAATTTGTCTCGCTAATTACTGATGGATTCTGTAATTTGTTTTTTTTATTAGTATCCGAACACCCATACGACACCCCATGTGACATCCCAAAACTTTACACCCTGAATTTAAACGAGGCCTGATTCTGGTGACCTGGTGGGTCATGGGTGTGCAGTGTAACAATTGAGTTCATAGTACACAAACTAACATGTTTCAAAATCTATAAAACTACAGGATCTTTTTATACATTTTGTATGAAATAACAAGATGATCTGCACAAATAGGGTATGTAGCTAGTTTTTTTTTCCATTATAACCATGAAGTTCTTTTAAAATTTGAATCATCTTATGCCTTACTTATGGATTTGCAATGAGTAATTATCGTTTTTTGCCCTAAAACATTACCAGATTCATCACAATGCTGCTCATGTCTATTGGGGTTGCCTTGAACAACCATTGGCCGGTCTCGTCATCACACCAACATCCATTGACATGATTATTCCAAAATAAAATTGTGGAACCATCACTCACATCAATGAATTGCTGATTTCTGGACTACTACTTATGTCGCTCTATTGTATTGTTGAAAATCAATCTGTGACCATGATTGTTTCCACCTGTGACCAAATAAGATATGCTTTTATCAATTTTGTCATAACATTGGCCAACCAAACTTCTTTTCATTTCCTTGGTCACCGCCATGAAATGCATCAAATTATTAGAGCCACAGTTGTTGTAATCGACACATTCATTTTAGTTGTTCTCCTTTCTCGAATTATTTGATGGTGATGCTAAAACTTTCTGGACATGAACACATGAAAAGAGTGGATCAACATTCAACAATCTTAGGGCTATGACAAAAGAACAATTTAAGATGGCGAAGCTTACAACACTATGGGGGAACGCAGCGGCATAGGAATTTAAAGCGCTTGAATGATTGTTATGGACATGCCATTGCCAAACATACTGGCAGCTGGCTTGGATAGCTCTTTTGCATGCGTTTTATCCCTCCCATATAACGTTATCTGTATTGTATACCATGAAAAAAATCAATTTCTGACGCTATTTGTATTATGTACCACATCATCTCATTCTATACTTGAATTCGTACTAGATTATCTTTTATGTATCTTTTGTTAAATCTAGATCATTACAATCTTGACCTAGCGGCTTTTAGGATTAATGTGGTGGTTTTTAGCACTTGAGAGCGAAAAAGCAGAAACTTATCTACGTGACCTGTTACACAGCATGGATCGAGTGATGCTCGCCCGTGCCCATGCCACGTCGGAGAGGAAGAAGAGGGGGCTCACCGGCATTGGAGACGAGAAGCTCGCCGGTGTTAGGGTTTCGATTCCTCACCTGTGGGCTTAGAAGGGGGATTTTTGGGGCGGCGGTCGTGACACGACGGCGGAGGCGGGCGGGGCGGGCGGGAGAAGGCGGTTGGGCGGGGCTAGGGGCGGGGCAGGAGGCGGGTGGTGCGGCGAGGCGGCTTCCAACGTCGGCCGCCGGTGGTGGGGGTGGGGGCGGCGAGGACGTGGACGACGCCGGCGTGCCGCCCTGTGGTTAGTGGAGGGCAGGGTCGAGGGGCAGGAGGTAGGCACGCGCGACCGACGGCGAGGAGGAAGACGACGGGAGGGGCGTCGCTCGGAGGAGGAAGACGGGCAACCCGTGGCGCGTTATCCCTAAAGATGGCAACACACTGATTTTTTTAAATTTATATATAGAAAATATATAGAAAAGAAACTCGTTGAGAGGGCCCAGTTGGCATTGACTCCAACAAGATCAAGCCCAAAAAGGGTTGATAGGAGTAGACCAACCCGACCCGCTTTCTCCACCACCACCACAGCACCACCGTCTCCTGTCTGTCTTTCCTCTCCTCTCCTCTCTCGCAACTGCAAGCGACCACCCACCACCCGCCGACGCTTCGATCCCCTCCCTTGCTTTCCGTGTCCCCACCCAAACCCCATAGGGGCCGCCGCCGCCGGAGGCCGGGCCGTGGGTGCTGAAATGAAGGAGGTGGTGCTTCACGTGTACGACGTGACCAACAGCGACTCCGAGAAGACGAACAACACCATCCTCCAGATCAACCGCATCTTCAAGGACCGCATCGGCCTCGGCGGCATCTTCCACAGCGCCGTGCAGGTAGTGGGTCTAGCTCCCCTCTCCCCCTTCCCTCGCCACCCGCTCAGATCCCAGGGAGCGACAGCTTCTCCAGATCCCTAAATCTCACGCCATTTCTTGAACCCCTCAACGCAGGTCTATGGCGAGGACGAGTGGTCGTTCGGGTTCTGCGAGACCGGCAGCGGCGTGTTCAGTTGCCCCGTGGGGAAGAACCCCATGTACACCTACCGGGAGCGCATCGTCCTCGGGGTGACCGAGTGCGGCATCGCCGCCGTGAACCGGATCCTGCGGGAGCTCGGCCGCGAGTGGCAGGGGCAGTCGTACGACCTCCTCTCCAGGAATTGTAACCATTTCTGCGACGTGCTCTGCGAGAGGCTCGGCGTCCCCAAGCTCCCAGGTAAGGACCACGGAGGGGCATTCCATTCGTTTTCTTCTTCTGAATGGCAACAACCTGTGCAAGGTGTATCTCATAGTGGCATTATGTACAATTCTCGAGTTCAAAAAACACACACTGTGTCCTCGAATTGGAAGGAAGATTGCAGGTTCTGATTTAGATGGCGATTTACATTCTTGCTAGGAAAAGAATGAGCAAACTTAATGAGCAAATGTGTGAACTGAACATTGCAAATAAAGCATGTGTTTGCTACCACTGAAGTATTGAGCAATTTAACTGGTGTTTTGTCACACTTGAAGCTTTGATAATATGGTTAATGTATGAAACTGAGTGCTGCTAGCTCTAAGACTCAACTTTGGAGCATAAGACCATGTACAACACAGACGTTTAGCAGGCTCTTAGAGGCAGTTTCATTGTTATCCTTGCCACTGTGGACCTGAGCACAAGCTTATGTGTGGGTGACTGGGCGTTGCCACTTGACAAGGTTTTTTATGCCTGCCTTGAAACTTACGTGCGAGACGGATGTCTCCCAAGAACAGTAATTAGCTTAATTATTTCATTACCTTAGCAAAATCGTTTAGTTTCCATTTGAGACAAGGCTCTTTTATGTTTGCTTCATGATTCATGTCCTAATGCACCTACTTGTGTGACAATTTGAAGAGGCTGAAGATTCCTGTAGGTCAAGTCGTTGCTAGTCATTTCTGATCATAATGTTTAATCATTGAATTTTTGTCTATGTTGCTAACAGCCTAGCATGATTGTGTTACGTAGGTTTGAAATGCCATGAACTTACTCTTTTATTCTGTCTAACCTTGCAGGTTGGGTTAATCGCTTTGCCAATGCCGGTGATACTGCTGTGGTTGTTGCTGAGAGCACAGCAGTTAAGGTAATTTCAGAATCTGTTGCTGTGATACAATGTGCTATCTCCAATTTACTTAATCCTAGCATTAACTTATGATTGCTTCTTGCTTTTTATTATTTTTCCTAGTCTATTACTCATGTTTTAGATCTCTGTTTTTTCCCCACCAATACAAACATCCCTTATATTTGTGTTGCAGTCTGCCCATGTGTTTGGTTTGGAGCTTGAAATATTGATTATATGCATAGGCCTTTCTGTTTTATCATCATTGTTTTCCTTGTGAATTCATGTTTTGCAGTTCAGGCAGGCTAAAACAGAAATCGTGAATGCCAGTAGAGTAGCATACAGATTTATGGCAGGCCTGGCTTCAAAAAATCAAGCCTCACCCGAGTCCCCGGGTAACAACCAAAACAGAGGCAGCCCTACTTTCCAGGGAGCTTGGTTCAAGAACATCATCTCAGCTGGTGCAAAGCCTTCATCGAGTGAATCAACCCCTCTCATTCGCAGGATGCTGATGATGGCACCCCTCTGCGGCGGCAAAGTTCAACAGAATATTCAACCCACTTGTAGCTGCTTTCCCAGCAGATCAACCAACAGTTGAATTGAATCTGTCAATCTGTAGTGTAACATTAGCGAAATATCTGTTCGAAACCTGTTGTTAAATTGAATCTGTAGTGTAACAGTTGCTGATATTTGTTCAAAAACTGTGATTTGGCATTTGCCAATGAATCTATTCCTCCCAGCATTGTTGAACGCCCCGATATTGTGCGTAGCTGCTGATCTGGTTTTTGCGTTATTTAGCATTGTTGCAAGTTGGGCAAAGATCTCTTTGCTTTATTGCTGTGTGATATCAGCCATGCAAGAGGTCGAGATCATGGCATACATACAACAGGCTCGTTGGTCCAGGGAAAGTGGGGGTAAATGGGTAATGATCCACCCAAGATCCAGCTGCTCATTCTAGTGGTGCTTCATCAAGTGTACCTGGTAATTCGATAGGCCATTTCAAGATATCAGGCGGCTCACCTAACCTTGATTATGAACATTGGAAAGAGCAGTCCTGATTGTTACTTGCCATTAGATCATCTCCAGTGAAGCTCCAGACCTAGCTTACTTTCAACCAGTGCTCAGGCCCAAAATGGTACAACAGTCCACTCTAACACAACAGTTCTATGATCTATCCACTGGACCAAAAAGAGACAGGGGGAGGCTCATTTACAAGAATGTACTTCATACAATTTACACGCGGGCCTGCACAGAAGGGGAAAAATACAACAGGGGGTAAAGAAGCTTCTGGCTCACTAGATAAGTGTTCCTCAGATAGTGATGGTCGTCGTGAGGAATACAAGCGGCAACAAAACGCCAATCCCAGTTCTGGAGGGACCTACAGGTGAAGAAAAAGGATACAAGTTCAATTTGCTGAGGATGGAAAACAGTAGATGATACCTCAGCAGCAAATTGCAAATTAAGTACCTGAGCTTTCTGATTTCGGCGAGACAGGCAAAGCAGGCAGCGACATTTCTGAATCCAAAAGAGGATGCCAATGTGATTAGACAAACAGCAGTATTGAACAAGTTAAAGAAAGTAGTGAGAATCATGTTGTGATTTCAGAAAGTGTAGTGATGTGGCCCAAATTAGAATGCCTGCTCCTTACCTGGAGCACAAAGTGACAATGATTGGACAGAAGATGAGGAGGGCCATGGTGCTGCAATATTGTCACTCAAATCGCATGTAAAGCTAATGCCAGTAGTGTTGTCAAACACAATATCTGTAGGTAAGCTCCGAAGTAGACAGCCTACAATAGTAAAGATTGGAAATTAGCATCAAGTCACGGAAGTCCATGGATCAAAGTATCAAACAAAGTTGATTGATTGACACTGACCTTGCTGACCAAAAGCTGCTTCGGTTAAGTGGTGCCAAGGAAAAAAAAGAGAGTTATAAAAGGGTTCCATGATGAATAAAATATTGAAGATAAGTAAATAGGGCTTCAGTGCATACCTTGCAAGCTGAAATCTTTCAAGTCAATGTCACAAAGCCCATAAATATCATCCACCACACCAGCTTTCTGTAGCATTGATCCAAACTTTGTTGCACAATTAATTGCTTGCAGGTTTGTGACAAATATCTGTTTCTGCCTAGTTCCAATGTAAGAGTGCAATGCTGCGCAGCATGAAGGCGTTGAAGATGATGCCTTGCCACATGCCTTAACGACTGAAGAAGGTTCATCAAACTCCAATGGACAAACTACATCATTTAGAATAAGAATCAGGCAATTCACTTGGTTTTGTGCATGATAACAATGAAACTTACAGTATTGACCACCTAGAGAGTATGACATCGCTTACCTTTGTTCACCTTGCAACCAGATAATACTCTGAAAGCACTATTAGCTTCCTCTGATGAAAGCTTCATGGATAACCAGGAGTGAACTACCCCTTTACAGTCACTAACAACATCAATCCCAACAGCGCTCCCTGGCATGCTAGAACTTCCAAACATGTTAGCCCCACCTGAAGATATGTGAATAGCTGCTTCTGCTATAGCAGGTTGGCAAACTGGCCTACAACACTCTTTCAGTGGGTCAACACTGCTGCATGCATCTAGGAGTTTACTGGTGTTGACTATTTTCTCAAAGGAGCTAATATCCTTCACAGGACAAGAAGCATCAGTGAGATTTGATGGCCTCAGAGTACATAACTCAGGGATGTTGGTGTTTGCCCCTTTGCTTGCAAGGATGTTCATAATGTCAGAGAAACAAGCATTTGCTGAAGCCTGGTTGAGAACTAGGGTATCGTTTCCACTGCCATATGCAGCTTGGAAAACATTCACCAAGCTATTAACTTGGGGGCAACATATAACATCAGCAACTAGTGGTGCTAAAGGAATGGAGCAATCATATGCTGTCTTCTCCATGACATAAGAGAGTGCAGAAAAATTTACATGGCATTTTCCAGTCAAGACTGGATCATAGGACGTGTAATTTGGATACATAGGTGACAGTGGCTCAACAGGGTTAGTATTGTGTGGAAGAACAGATGGTGAAATCTCTATGGGATCAAAGAGACCAATAGGTGGATCAGACAGAAGGAATTTATCTTTTGGTTCAAGTGGTGTTTTCTGAGACAGAACATGCTGGCTGCCACAAAGCCAAACTGCAAACAGCACAAGCCAGTGATACAATGTACCTGCAATGTGATGTTCTCTTCAGCAAAGCATATCAAAGATGCGAACATAGAATGCACTTCAATTGCATCACTTTCGCTAGAAAAAAAAATGTAGCATGTCTAGTATTTCCATAACAATCTACAGTAAACTCCATTTTATTTCCTCACAAGAAAGGAGTTATTTACCTAGAATGCCTAGCAACCCAGCCATACTCATTATATTAGATAAGTTGCAAGGAATATCACTATCTATTGTGTTAAGTTGCCAAAACAGCTTTTCCTCCTAAATGTATATCCATGTTGAACCATTTCCCAATGTAGCATGAAACCAAAGACTTTGTTTAACTATATCATTGTGAAAATCAACCCCAATTATTAGCGGAACATAAATGAATTCCAAATTAATGTGAGTACATGACTCTAGAACAACATACAGCTAACGACAAGGTTACAATTAAATCACATGTTTAGCATTCAACAGGAATCACCAGAAACAGCATCAAACTTTCGAGCAGAAATCTACATTGTATTGTTAACACAATTAAACTTATCTACTTGAACCTCACAAATTTAATTACTACATTCATTATGAGTAAACAACTCCAAACAACATAATGGGGGTAAACTACTCACCCTGGCCACAAGAACCAGAATTGGAACTCTCCATTTCTTTTAGCCTGAAGATGTATGTGCATGCATGAGGCAATGTGTAAAGTCCTCAGTTCACTTCAATCAAACTTCAAAGGTTTAAGAACTCCACTCAGGGGATCACGAGAGAGCAACACTGCACTTGAAGGGGATAAAAATAACCTAGAGATATAAGTAAACTGGATGGTAATGCACAAGGTGGGAAAAGAATCTCAAGCAAGTATGGCTAAGAACAACATTTTTGTGAACCTAACTAGCAGTGGCGGAGCCAGGATTTCATAGCTGGCTATTCCATATACAAAAAAAAAAAAAATCGATGCAAATGTGCAACAGTAATAAGCAAATATGCTAACACCCTTCTTCTTCATCTATGTTACAAGAATCCAATGAAGAAAAAAATTAGAAAACGAAAACTCCAATTCTTACTCAATGGATCTGACTCTGCTCATCTTTCTTCGACCTTCAAGTCGGAGCTCGAGCTGGGACTGGGAGGGCCGGAGGGGGCCTAGGGGAAGGGCCAGACCGCCGGCGGGTGCTGCTTCTCTGCTGCACCCTGCAGAGAACTCCGACCGTCGCGGCGGCGCCGCCGCCGCCCGGCGTCGGCCGCTAGGGCTGGGCGCAGGTCGCGCAGCCGTGCAGGGGCGCTGACCCGAGGGGGCGAGGGGGAGAGCCGGGGAGGACCGAGGGGGAGGCTACGTGTCGCTGCGCCGCTGGCCGCCACGGCGCCGCCGCCGCCGCCGCTTCCGTCCTTCTCCTTCTGCGGCAGCCAATGCGAGCGAGTAAGCCTAGAGCGACGCGAGCGTGATGTCGTGATGAGCCAATGGGGTTTCTATTCTCCCTTCATAGGCTGCTGCTGCTGGTTTCTAATGTGCTCATGGACATATTTGCAACATCTACAAACTACACATGCTGTAGCATTATATACATATACTTATGTTTGTTAGCAAAAATATGGGTATTCCCAGAAATTTTATACAATACACATGTGTTTTAGCATAAAAAACATATGAATTTTCTCTCTCTCTCCCTCTCTCTTTTCAACTGTCTCCGAAGCGCACGCGCGTTGTGGTGGAGGACATCGCCGGCTTCTCTTCACCGAACGGTCGAGGACGACGTCCCGGCAGCCGTGGTCCGTGGACCATGCCGTGGCGCGGTTCTGGGCACTGGAGACCGGCCGGCCTGATGACTGGGACTGACTCGTCCATAAATCCGATCCGTCAGTTGCGTCGTAGTCCTCCCGGCCCCTCGCTCCAATCAGACCTGGACGCAATTTGTTCTCTTGTCCTTGCATAGAAAAAAATTGTTTCTTGTGATATGTGGATCTGTGGATCTGTGATCTTGTGATTTATGATTGTCTAGAGGTAGAAGAAGGCTGGAGGTAGAAGAATGCTGGAGGTAGAAGGAGGATGAAGGTTGTTGGATCTTAATTCTATGGTGTAAAAAAATTCATGTGTTGAAACTATATAAAACACATGGTTGTTAGGTAGACAGACTTGGGTATTCCATGTAGCCTACCTACTTCAGGCCATGCCTTACGAGTTACGACTAGAGCATCAATGACAAAATTGAATTTTATCTGGGTAAATGCCACTTATACATCCAACAAAATGTATCCCGATCCTTTCCCGGATTTGGAAATCAAGGTGCACAAATAGAATCAATTCTTTGCATGGTTGGTCAGGAGACAAAACCTTATTGTTGTGGAAGATGCTAACTGTGTCATGTGTTCAAATAATGAGGAAGAGGGCATCAATAAAAGCTCTAGTTTAGTTTTGGTAATTGAGTGATGACTAGTAGACTAATGTTTTCAATGAGTTTGATTAAGCTAAGGTCCACATAGTGGAACTAAGTCATGCTAGGAGATGGTGGAGATGATAACCATGACCATTAAGCAAAGTGCTCAACCATGGAGAGAAGATGGACAACAACCCCGAAGGCAAATATATATGCATAGGGGCGGTTTGCTTTCATCGGCCGAGATGAAATAGAGTGCATGGTTAGATTTAGGATATATAGTTGTATTATTAAGAGGGAGCTCTAATGTGTTTACAATTGTCCATGTGCCACTAGGTGAGAATTAACAATACATATGCATTAGGCCTAGTGATGTGGTGAGGAAGCAAAGTGAAAATACTTTGAAAAATATTTTTGAAAAGCTAACTCAGTGCCTAAGGTGATAATGTTTTTGTTGGAACACATATGAGGTTAACAGTTTTGAAAAAACATTTAAGAGAAGCTCTCGGGATAGGGTTTTACCCTCATCATAACTTTTTGGTGCCCTAGCTGGGGGGTTACCAGAGAAAAGGGTCGGTGTCCGTGCTGTGTTGATTGTACCATGTTGGGGGCATCAAAGTTTCAGTGCTCCCATGGAGGGCAGCACCGGAGAAAAGCCCATGCCACAACTATATTAATTGCGGACCACCTGATTTTCGGTGGTGCCCTTGTGCTAGGTACTAGAGAAAAGCGCCCTAGAGAGAGGACATGTGGCGTGTTTCTGTGCAACACGCAAAAAATAAAAAAGGGCTGGCACTTGTTCCGGTGCGGGCCATCGGACTTTTCTAGTGACCCCTTAGAGTTCTATCGATGTAGGTGTCTAGAAAGGTTTTGGATGCACCGGAATATTTTCGTGATGGCCACCACATGACCCTCAGAAAAAGGAGGGTTTGACCGTTGCTTTCTAACAGTCGTTTGTGTAGCTGTTAGAACTTAGAGGGGGCCACGATATTCTCCGATAGTGGCCCATCTGCAGGCACCAAGAAAAAGCTTATGAACACTGTGCTTGAGATCAAAATCTAACCATGGGATCTCTCTAACATTTTTAGGTGGTCACTGGAGTTTTTGGTGACACCGTCCTTTGCTCCCAACGGTTAGTTGGTGGTTGAGGCTATAAAAACGTGGGTGGTTGGGCCTTGTGAGCTCTTTTGGCGCCCTTGGTTGATATTTTTACATACCTCGAGCTTGAGAAACACACTCCGCTCACTTGCTTTGCTAGAGATTGCATTTGTGTGAGATTGGAGAGGATTCTAGTGCTTTGCATTGAGAGTTTGCACCTAGTGCCAATTGGGAATCATATTGGCAATGAAGTTCTCTTTACTCTTGCTAGTTACTACCACTTAGATGGTTTTGTGTTGTGGTGGATCGTTGAGCACCACTTGGTGATTGTGCGGGGCTCCGACCGGTGGGGCTTTGTGCTCATCACTGCAAGAGTTTCGCGAAGAGCAATTCTATTGGAATCAAGAGGCTTAGAGAGGTCCTTGGTGATCCACCGACTTCCGCACTAGTGCCCGTGTTGTAGGGGCTGAGTTTGTGTGCTTATGAGGCTATGAAGCAGTGATCTTGTAGGATCTCTAGTATGCTTAGAGAGGGTGAATAGGCCTGTAACAATTCAACTCAAACCGAGGTCAAATTCACTAGCGGCACTACCGCTCTTTGAGCGCGTGAAAGCTCTAGTTTGGTTTTGGTGAATTGATAAAACCCTAAGTGCTAACCTAGTTTATCAAAGTGATTATGAGATAGGTGACACATTCCAAGTGGTGGACCAAATAAATATCATGACATGATGATAGTGATGCCATGATGATGATCAAGTGATTAGACTTGAAAAGAAGAAAGAGAAAAAAAAAAGGCTTAAGGCAAATGTATAAGTGGTAGGAGCCATTTCGTTTTGGTGATCAAGACACTTAGCGAGTGTGATCATATTTAGGTTCGATAGCCGTACTATTAAGAGGGGTAAAACTCATATCGAAATACGGTTATCAAAGTGCCACTAGATACTCTAACTCATTGCATATGCATTTAGGATCTAGTGGAGCGCTAATACCCTTGAAAATATTTGTGAAAATATGCTAACACACATGACAAGGGTGATAATATTGTGTTTAGCACTTGGGAGCAAGGGTTTGAAACTTCACCGGCGGACAGTCCGTCGGTGCCACCGGCGCCCTGTATAGAAAAGACAGGGCTTCATAGAATGCACGGACGCTGGTCACACAGTGACCGGACTCTGACCCTGCGTTCGGTCAGTAGTAGCTGTGAGCGTGCGTTCTTGGCCTCGTGACCGGACGCTGGCGCGAAGAGTGACCGGACGCTCAAGGCCTGCGTCCGGTCAGTGCTGACGTACGCTGACGTGGTAGCGTGAGGAACAGCAGTGACACGTGGCAGTTGGAGAATGACCGGACTCAGGTGCTGCGTCCGGTTATATAGGAGCGGATGCGTCCAGTCGCAAAACAGAGGTTCGGGGAGTTCTCTGGAAACGACCGGGCTCTGGCTGATCTGCGTCCGGTCGCTTATGATCGGACACGTTGAAAGCTCTAGTTTGGTTTTGGTAAATTGATGAAACCCTAAGTGCTAACCTAGTTTATCAAGTGATCATGAGATAGGTAGCACACTCCAAGTGGTGAAGCAAATGGAGATCATAGCTGATAAAGATGATGGCATGGTGATGATCAAGTGCTTCGACCTAGAAAGAAGAAAGAGAAAAACAAAAAGCTCAAGGCAAAGGTATAATTTGTAAGAGCTATTTTGTTTTGGTGATCAAGACACTTAGAGAGTGTGATCACATTTAGAATTGATAGCCGTACTATTAAGAGGGGTGAAACTCGTATCGGAATACGGTTATCAAAGTGCCACTAGATGCTCTAACTCATTGCATATGCATTTAGGATCTAGTGGAGTGCTAACACCCTTGAAAATGTTTGTGAAAATATGCTAACACATGTGCACAAGGTGATACACTTGGTGGTTGGCACATTTGATCAAGGGTGGTGAAGTTTGGGTGCAAGGGTAAGAAACTCCACCGGCGGAGTGTCCGCCCGTAGAGTACGGTGTAACACCCCAGGTGTTTGCCACCAGTTAAGCAATGGGTTTGAGCTAAAACATGGTATATTAAGTGATGATGAAGATGTCAAGGTCAACCTATGGAATTGAGCCCCGACCTAAACTTGGATATTGCACCCTTGCTTTACATATAGGCCCTTTTCAAGATATATGCTTGGGTGGTGTGATTGGGATATCTTCATG